GTTCATTTGAATCAAATACCAAACAAACCAAAGAGTGGAATAAAATGTTACATAGACGTGTCTTTCCAATTTTTCGCATTATTTGCTGGATAGAAGCTATCCGACATGCTATTTTCTCTGACCTCCCCCTATTCAATTAGGTCTGTGATAGTTTTCCAGAAGGGTTTCCACTCGTCTCGCGGAGGGTCATCTATATTTCCAAGAAGAAGAAGAAGAGAACACGAAAGTAGAGAGCAAAAGCAACCCAAGTTCGACACAGAGACCGACTTGGTTAGATCTCTGATTGAATTAGGCCCGTACGACTAGGGGGCCCTCGAGACACAACTGTCACACTCGTGTGAGTGAAGGACCCCTTCGTTTTACCTCCTGGAGATGTGCCGGACGGACCCTGCACGATGCGGCGGCTACATCGTGACTCACGCATTAGCAGACCCTTTGTCGTTGGCAATGGACTTTTTCCTGTTACTTCGTTACTATCATTGAATATTTTCCGTTTCGTGTATGCGGTCGGTTTTTTATTTTTTATTGAAATGACGTTCAACTCTTTTGATACATTATGTGTCCCAACATCTAGAGTTGATTATAATTTAAATGAAATCAATTATTATATTTATAATTTTTTATATTTATATATTTTAAATATTTTGCTAAACTTACGAGTAAATTGGTACTATTATTACTGCCAAATGAAATATGTATTTCAATTTATTAGCCTATTCATTTATACATTATTCTATTTATTCATCTCCCGAAGACGTCAACTAGGTTGATGAAACGCTCGTCTAGAAAAGTATTGCATTTCTGGTGGTTGGGAAAAAAGCTTGTTTTGCATAAATTTTTTTTCAACGGTGGGTGATTTATCCGAAAAATGTTTTTCTTGATTCTTGGAATGGAACCGTATATTTGGTCGCATGAATACTTAGCGGTATTTTACCCAGGAGAAGATTTCAAAATGATTAGGATAAGATAAGATAATTTATTTCACCACGTTACATAATAAAATGTTTGTAGCAAGTCAAAAAAATAGCATGAAAGTAATTTGTTAACAATCAAAATATTATAAAAACAAAAGAGAAACACAAATACAAAAATTTAAGAACAAAATTGAGTAATTTGTTGACATTATAAACATTTAAAATGATTAACTTATTCTTCGACAGAATAGAAGCAAAAACATACTAAGGATTTTGAAACTATCGGGAAGATAGTTGTAGAGGTTGAAATTCAGTGTGTTCTTTCGTGATTTACTCAAACGATAGCGGTTTGTCCGGTATCATAGTCATGAAGGTCTGATTGCTTGATTAATGAAGTTGTTTTTTTATGAATTTCTATGAGAACGTCGTACAAAAATAATGTGAGTAACGGCATTATTCTCAATTTCAAAAACAGAGGTAGACAATGATCCCTATAACCAGAATTAGTAATTATTCTGAGAGCTTTTTTCTGCAATTTAAAAATTTTTACAGCCCCATTTGAGTTGCCCCAGAATATAAGACCTTAGCTAATGATAGAATGGAAGAGAGAGAAATATGTTATTTTCAGTGTATCGAAACTAGTTATATTTCTCAACTGACGCAATAAAAAACCAGTTCTAGATAATTTTTTACTCAATTCGTCAATATGACCAATATGATCATGTTTTATCACTGTTGAAAAGTGATTTGATTAAGATACTGCGATTTCATTGATTGAGAATTTTCGTTTCCCGTTATAGTTATTATATTTTAAGGAATCCTTATGTTATTTAATAAAATTCACATTTCAGTTTTGAAGGAAACCTTGGCTCAATTTTTTTATATTATCGATCCTGAATAAACCTAGATTGAGTTTTTTGAACGAATGGTCATTAAAAAAAAAATCCGAATGGGTTCAATAAGTTTTTTTTCAAAGAATATCTATTTTGTATAACTTCTGCTGTAAGTAAACGTTATGGGGAAAATAAACACATTCTTTTGTTATGTTCTTAGTTTTCCTATCATACACTTTTTTATAGGATGAAGAATCATTCAAAAGAGGAAAAAGCTGGTTTTTCATGTTTGTTTTTAGTGGATGAACTCATAAATCGATTTAAAAAATTCTTCCACCTATAAAAAGCTATATTATCAGCAACTAACATTGGCTATATTTCATTTTCAATAAATATAGTTTGAAAAAACTGAAAAACATGCTTTTAAAGAACATCGAACTAAAAAGTTGAAAATATATTTTTTTAATTATCTTAAAACAATAACGAATGAAGCATTATTTTCCGATTCCGATGAGGAAGCCTGAAAATCAGCTAGCAAGCCCAAGGAAGGCAGCAGGCGCGCAAAAGAGGGTTACAAATAAGGCAGCAGGCGCGCGTGTTAATAAAAAAAAAATACTTTTTTCGAATAAAGACATACATGTAAAGTAAGTTCTAATTATATCAAGGAGGTTACGTACAGCGCCATCTGCCCGCGAATAGATCAATCAATAATGTCGATAATTCTGTTGATTACAGATCCCGAGCATTCAAACGGTAATAAATATGAAATGAAAAGGAGGGTTACAAACAAACAAACAAAAAACAAACAAACAAACATACATACATCCAGGTGAAGCTAATGAAAGCGTGTTTAAATGAAAATAGGTCGTTATGAAAATTTTAATTATGTAATCCAAGGTATCATAAACGTTAATCTTTCAGTATCCTCGCTGAGAATAATCTTCAGTATGAGCTACTAGGTTGTCTCAAATGGTTTGTCCGTTTCAATGTAATATGTTTTGTCGTGTTACATACTGATCGATAGAGAATTTTGTACTCTATACCTAGATGCACCTTTTCCAAATTTTCATTGTTGCATCTTTTCAGCTTGATACTATAAGCGCTGAAACAGCCTGAATAGTCAACCAAGTATTGGCAATGATAGTGTTAATGAACGCGCTGTTCCATGTTGGTTTGCGAAAATTTGTTTCGGGGATTTCAGCCTCGAAGTTGAGCCCCAAAGTGGTCGACCTACAGTACTGTTGTGAATCAATTCCAAAAAAAAAGATAACGCGCCGCCGCTGGCCATCGTAAAACAACTGTGACGTGGCCAAGGCAGCCTAGCCGGTGTTTCGCAGTTGTTCGATGTTTGCGCCGTTTTCATGGAATTCCGTCGAATTTTCTACTGGCTTCGATGGAATTCTGAGGAACTCTCCACCGGTTTCGGGATACTTCGTTTGCCGCATATAAACGCTACCTACGGGCATATCGATATAGGCGAGTTTCACGGACAGTGTGTTGCAAAGCGATCTTATAAGGTATAGGCATTTGAATAATAGTTTAAGTTTTAGTAAAAGTGTTTTGTTGTATCAATAGTGAAATAAAGTTGAGTTTGGTCATTGTTCAGTGTAGTCAATTATTGGTAAATCCACGGGGAAAACGTAACGGTACTCTAAGACAAGTATTTGAGAACCCTGGTGGAGAATTACCCATCTTGAACAGTGCGTGAGATGACGGAAGAACTGTGTGTTAGTTCCCGTACGGGTTTTGAGGATATGATATGCATTGGCCTTCATCGACTTCATGGAATCCCAAGCACATAATTAATATACTGACTGAATTTATCGACTTGTGTTACGTTGGCAATAGTGCACTGATTCAAATGGCGCTTATTTCGATTAAATTTCACTGAGATATTACTTTAAAAAAAATACTCATTGAAACGGACGAAACTTTCCAAATATTCACATGAAATTTCCAGTTTTTGATGATCAGTCCAGCAAAAAGCTGAAAAAACCTATAATAATAACAATAATAATTTTATTCCAGTCAGATCACAATTCAAATATTATTGGAACAGTTAAAAAAGAGAAGACAGCATACGTATATATATAAAATCTTGAATAATATCAAAAATTATAAAGCAATATTTTGATAATTATCACCGGTCATATACCTAAGAGTATAAAATACATATTTATAATACATTTAAAATGCATTCAGACACCATAGTCACTCAATAAAAAATGCATCTACTTTATAGTAACATTTACTGATTAGAAGATTTCTAAATTTGTTTTTGAATATTCTGTAATTCCTCTCACTCGCAATATCCTCAGGCAGCTTATTGTATTTGGGCATTTTCGAACAGGGTTGTTCTATGTTGTGGTATCTGCAAGCGAGTACTGTATCTTGTGCTATAGTTGTGATTACCACCACTTGTCGAGAGGTTAGAGAGTTGTAATTTAATTGCCAATAATTATTTCATGATGTATATACATGGCATAGTGAGGATATTGATTTTAATAGAGTAGGGTTTGCAAGAATATGTACGTTTAATTCCAAAAATCAGGCGTATTATTCTCTTTTGTGATATCAACAATCTTTGAGATGATACTGCATTATTGAAGATGTTCTTCATCTACAGAATGGCATAATACCCACTATTTACTTTCTTGCTGATATGATCGATACAGTTTCTGAAGGATAGATTGGAGTCGAAGAACGTGCCTAAATTCTGATGTAATCAATGTCGCATTACGTATACTCATTTTCGGGACCATAATATAATTTTTTATCGGCATTTATATACTCTGGCAAATCATTGATGAACATAAGGAAAATCAATGGACCTTCTATCGATCTTTGTGGTACTCCTAGATTGTTGTTATGCAATTCAGATCGTGTTCCATTGAGTTTCACAATAATTTTTCTGTGCCTCAAAAATGACATGAGCTACTTCAGAATATTTCCATGAATTACTAGTGAGTACAGTTTGGTTTCAGTATGATCTAGGTCTAGGCAATCAAAAGCTTTCGTGATATTGAAAAAAAGGGCACCTACAAGTTTTTTTCTATCGAGATATTTATAGATGTACTCAACAAATGTGCCAATAGCTGTCTCAGTAGATTTCCCAGTATAAACCCGTTTTGTGAGTCCTTAATTATTTTGTTTGTCAAGGTAAGTTATCAGTCTATTGTACATAGCTCTCTCGATTATTTTGCTTATCGAGTTAGTGAAATAATACAAAACATATTGGACTAATGTTGCTCACCTGTATCCTGGCTTCATTTAATTTCGTACTCCTCGCCAATTCCTCCCTGCAGTAGATATCGGGGTAGTGACTTTTGGCGAAGGCCGCCTCCAGTTCGGCGAGTTGTTCTTGCGTGAATGTGGTGCGGTGCCTTCGGCGGGCGGGTGTGGGACAGGAGGCAGTGGTAGGTGTGTGACCGGCGTGCTGAGGACCCCCCGATGGAGATACGGTTCCTAGAGAGGTGCCTGTTGAAGTTGTCTGGGGCTCTGGTTTTAATTTCTTGAAGGCTCCGTCTGCAAATGAAAACAATGATTAAGAACGTTCCCAACAAACCACACCGTAGGCTCTGGTGAATGCCTGCCTGAAAACAACTACTTCCCCGGCTGATACTACGCTGGATATTGACTTATATTCAACAGACATTTTTGCAAGATACCTCACATAAGTTAGTCTCGCTGATGTTCCTCGTTCGTACAGGAGCAGGACCATGCTGAAATTATTCGAGTGGATCACTTGAAGATCGGTGTCGAGGTATTACCTCTCATCAGTGCAGGAAATATCCGATCCAAACAGCTATGTGCCTGGTACTGGGTTCATTTCAACGAGGCTCCGCTGATTATATGAAACACTTTTAACTAGTAACAGGTTTATCTCGTTAACAAAGCCCCACGGGGAAGAAACAGCCCATGTACCAATACTCTAACAGTAATCAAACCGATACAGTATTCAATGTATCGAGAGATATACATACGTACTAGTGGTGTGGATAGTTGGGAGAGACGAATATTTCGAGATTGCATTTCGAATTATTCGTTTTCCAGTACTTCATTGTGAGATTTCCACTGGTTAGTTTACAACAGTGAAAAATCTCACAATAAACTGAAACTTGAATTAATAACAACTTTACTCGAAATGCGACAAAGCCTTTCATGAGCACCTATTTAAAACAATTTTTGGCTAACTGAAATGGGTTCAAAATAGGTTGAAATGTATTATATAGTTCACCGCAACCGGCTGCCCTCAAAAATATAAACAAGGTCGTACTGTTAGAACGTGCGATTCCTGTCATGTTGGTAGTTCAAAACTGCAATATTTCTGAAAGACTAAGTGTGTTCGTTCACGAAATAACATTTGTTTTCGTTCAAAATGACTCGGTCATGAGCTAGCAAACGATCGATGTCATGAGCTAGCAGAGAACATCATCAGCTAGAAAATTACGTCATTAGCTAGCATTAATTGACGTCATAAACTAGCGAAAGACATATTGATCTAGCAAAAGATGTCATGAGCTAGCATGAGCATGAACTAACAAATGATCGACGTCATGAGCTAGCAGATGACATCATGAACTAGCAGTTCACGTCATGAACTAGCAAGAGACATAATGAACTAGCAGATGACGTAATGAGCTAGCAATAAACGACTTCATGAGCTAGCATGAGCATGAACTAGCAAATGATCGACGTCATGAGCTAGCAAAGGATACCATGAGCTAGCAATTCATGTCATGAGCTAGCTATAATCGACGTCATGAACTAGCAAAAGACATAATGAACTAGCCAATGAAGTCATGAGGTAACAATAAACGACTTCATGAGCTGGCATGAGTATGAACTAGCAAATGATGGACGCCATGAGCTTGTTAAGGATCGACGCTGAACATTTTTCCGTAATCATGATTTAGTAAATGATCGACGTCATGAGTCATACGAGGACATGATCAGATAGAAAGCCACATCACATGAGCTAGCAATAATGACATCATGAACTAGCAATTTACGTCATGAGCTAGCAATAATCGATGTCATAAACTAGCAAAAGACATAATGAACTAGCAACTGACGTCATGAGCTAGCAATAAACGACTTCATGAGCTAGCATGAACTAGTGAATGATCGACGTCATGAGCTATAAGAGGACATCATCAGCTAGAAAATCTCTTCATGAGCTAGCAATAATTGACGTCATGAACTAGCAGAATACATATTGAGCTAGCAAATGACGTCATGAGCTCATCATGAACCAGCAATTCACGTCATGAGATAACAATAATCGACGTCATGAGCTAGCAAAAGACATAATAGACTAGCAAATAATATCATGACCTAGCAATAAATGACTTCATGAGCAGGCATCAACATGAACTAGCAAATGATCGACATCATGAGCTAGCACAGGACATCACGAACTAGCAATTCGCGTTAGCATTAATTGACGTCATGAACTAGCAAAAGACATAATGAACTAGCAAATGAAGTCATGATCTAGAAATAAACGACTGCATGAGCTGACATGAGCATGAACTAGCAATTGATCGAAATCATGAGCCAGCACAGGACATCATGAATTGGTAATTCACGTCATGAGCTAGCAATAATTGACGTCATGAACTAGCAAAAGACATAATGAACTAGCAAATGAAGTCATGAGGTAGCAATAAACGACTTCATGAGCTGGCATGAGCATGAAGTAGCAAATGATGGACGCCATGAGCTTGTTAAGGATCGACGCTGAACATTTTTCCGTAATCTCGGTCGTAACCAATTATACGGACATGTGTACATCACACAGGTGTCTGGTGCGGCGACAAACGGCGGCCGTAAACGAGGTTGGCAAGCAAACCTTATTGAATTCATTACTGTTTATTAATGCAGTTAGTTGGAACCTAATTACAATTACTGACACCGGCGCACGCCACAAAGAATCTCACACAATCTTATTACGAGACGCTCTCGCCGAATGTCAGGACGACGGCCTACGTCACCGCGACGCCAATCCTTCCATAATGTCTATAACCCGGCGACGGCGTCTTTTTTCGGAACGGACATTTGCATGCCTCTCTCCGTGGACGCCCTGGGCGTTTCATTTCGATTTGTTTTATAATAGACAGTATTTCACCTGCGAAAAGAGGGATTATTTGATGTTGTACAGTCGGTTGGTTACCTTATTTTAATGGCCAATTCATTTCTAGTGCCATTTCAAAAGGTTTTCAAATTCTGTATCGAACACCGTAAGTGTTATCACTTGGAAGAACGTTAGAATGGGCGGGTATTTGTGAAAATGAAGATAACCCAGTTTTGAAGTGAGGTTAGGTCCAGAATGATTGGGTCTTTGCAATCTGAATATGTTTATTGTGGATCACATCTATTCAAACTAGAACAAATGAACTCAGCTTCTTGCGAAAGCGTGGCTTGCAATCTTTCAGGTCAGATGGCAAGAGTGAAAACTCTGCCAAAACCTTATTCGTTCCGCAGCGGGGCATGAACGAAGTAAGTGCTCTGCTGTTTCATCATTTTCCGAACAAGTCTTTACATAATCTTATTCAGATGACATTGACCTGTGAGTGGGTCTGTTAGACAATGTATTTCATCTCTGTTGTAGTCTAACAAATGTTTGGTAAGATACTTCGAAAAATGTATAAGAATGCCGTGGAATAGACCAATGTAAAAAAGTGGAGGATATTTAAAATGTTTGAATTAAAAGGGATATACACTGTGTCCGTAAAGTATGGAACAAATTCATTTTTAGCTAAACAGGTCATTTTAAGAAATAATCCTGAAACACGTCAATTTTTGATGTTAATTTACCGTATTTTAAAATAATAATCTAATATACAGGGTGAATTACGTTCGAGTAATGACGTCACCGTCATTTTTTTTAAATAGAACACCACCATTTTGTCTCAATTTTCGGATTACTCTAGCTGAGCTGATTCCAAAAATGTATCACATGTTGATTCCAATTGGTACAGGGTGGACAAAAATACAGTAGTTGTGTGTGTGCTAATAAAGTAACGCGTAACATTCTTTATTAGGTAAATTAACAATATTATCAAAAATAATTATTGTCTAGCGGCAATTGGTTTAAATGTAACACCCCGTAGTTTGCTACATGTTTAGAGTAATAAAAATGAGCTGTTTCCAAACATGTTTGGTACTTGTGGTCTAGCAGACAGAATATGAAAGAAATTATTTCTTATCTACATTTATAAAAAACATAGTCGTCTAGTTTTTTGTGAAATATCATTATTTGTTTAGTAATTTATTGATGTTCAGTGACAGTTTAGTACTACAATATTTTTGGTATTCGTGAATATTCGAATGATTGCTTAGATTTAATTGGAAGTAGAAATGGAGTTAAGTGTAAAACAAAGAATTGAAATACTTATGATGATTGGGTATGGAGACAGATCGCTATTTGTTTAATGATAAATATCCAGAAAGACCTATAACGCGTTCAACAGTCAGTAAGCTGGAAACGAAATTTCGAGAAACTGGTACGGTTGCAAATGTACGCAAATCAGGTCGTCCCCCTGCAAATGCTGAAACAGCATTAGATGCTTTACTGAGTTTTGAAGAAGATGCGCACACTTCTGTTCGTAAAGTTAGTAGCAAAATCGGTGTTGGCAAAACAACGGCACACAAACTATTGAAGCTTGAAAAATGGCATCCTTATAAAATCAAACTTGTGCAAGAATTAAACGAAGATGATCCCGATAGACGACTCCAATTTTGCGAAGAAATGATGGATAAATGTCACCGAGACCCTCTCTTGATACAAAACATCATTTTTTCTGATGAGTTCACTTTCACGTTAAATGGTGAGGTTAACCGTCAGAATTATAGATACTGGGCAAAAGAAAACTCCCATTGGATGCGTGTGCATCATACACAATACCCTCAAAAGGTAAATGTATGGGCTGGAATTGTACGAAATCGAATCATTGGACCCTACTAAAGTAGGGTAAGGTAACTTTAACGGGGCAAAGTACCTTGATTTTTCAAGGGGATATCTCGTATCTACTTTACGTAATTTATTTCCCAGCAGACGTAATCCTGGAGGTTTTGATGAAAGTTTATGGTTTCAACAGGATGGTGCACCTTCACATTATGCTGTAGATGTTAGAAGGTACGTAGATGAAATTTTTCCGAACAGGTGGATTGGTAGACGTGGACCCACTGAATGGCCAGCGAGGTCACCAGATTTAAATCCTTTGGATTATTTTCTGTGGGGCCATCTGAAGAATGTTATTTATAAAACGAAACCAGCAAATATTGAAGATGTACAAGTGAAAATTTGAACAGAAATAAACAATATTACGCAAGAAACCATACACAAGGTTCAACAAGAATTTGTACACCGTTTGGGTTACTGTCAAATACAGCAAGGGCTGCAGTTCGAACATTTAATATAAAGTCATGTATTCCAGCATATTCTGTCCGCTAGACAATAAGTATTTTTGATAATATTGTTAATTTACCTAATAAAGAATATTACGCGTTACTTTATCAGC